AGGCTTGAAGTTGATCAAATGTAACATTCTCCAATTATTTGATGAAAATCAGTATCGCAGTTTGTTTAATGAAAATGGTAAAATTGCACTAACGCAATCCATCAATAACAGTGTAAACTTTTTGATTAGAAAGATGCACAAGTAATAAAAGTTTGATCATGAGAGACTTTCTACAATTTCCGCTCGGATTCTAGCGACTCTTTAAGTTGGTAGAAATGAACCTATACAGACTTAGCTTATACGATACATGAGTCATTAACGATGGAAGCCGTTTCACTTGAGGCACAGTCAAGATATTTCACAAAAAAAAAATACCATGTTGTTTTAAAAAATAAAACTAGCAGATCAGTAAATGACAATTCCAACCTTCTAAATAGGACATACCAATGAGGAAATTTTGAACCCAGTCAGCAGAAGGCTTTCTAAAGGCAGTGCATGGAAATCGAAATTAGGAACAGGCTATATAATGTTGACCAGAGGATTCCTGCATATGCAATAGTTGCAGGAACTTTTCCTTAGTTACAGAATATCAGTTATAAACATGAAGGCATATGAGGCATTCTTAAGTTATAAACAAAAACTTAAGAGAAAGAAGGAAAATATTGAGGCAACCCTCTATAAGGTAACTTTCCAGGGATATCTAAGTAGGAAGCTCTGGTGGTTTCCCTTTATTCAACACTGTGCTATCCATCGATAGGGTGAAGTCTAGTAGATTAACTTTTTACTTTACAACCCTCAGTTAAAATGACACGATTGCAAACAAACCAAAACACGAGTGGGGTTAGAACCCGCGATCAGAGAGTCACAAAACGGTCGGTCTGGAGTTTAGTGACTCTCTGATCGCTGGTTCTAACCCCACCTGTGGTATGATTTCTCAGTTAAAATGTAAAATTAGTTTTTTGAAATTAAGGGAGGTGTTTTCCATTGAAGTTGTTCAGTTTGAGTAACAAAGAGAAGATGAGTGTAAGTATTATGAGACTGGTGTATTAAGTACTGCCTCTGTTTCGCAT